ACTATTAAGTCATCACAATGTTTTGTAACTCGTATTCATTCATTTAGGTTCTGAGTCCTGACCGCCAGCTGAGCGAGGAGAAAAGATACCCAAGTGGGGACATACGGGATATCTCAGGCAGCATAAGGTAGAAAGCTGATGATCCCCTCTGAGAGTACTTAACGGGGTCACCAAGAGGCTTGTAGATCAGATGGATTTTCTAGTCACTTTTATAGGGGCTCTTTTCGGGGTACAAGCTAAAGAGTGAAGAGGCACAAAAGCCATACCATGTCATCCTTCAAAGCCACGAACCATCAACAATATGGACTACCGCATCACTCTGATAGTTCAGCTTTCTGAGACAATTTATGACTGGTTCTGACCTTTGAGTGGGTCAACGATTGTTCCTATTTGAGCTTTCGGTCCTGGAATAATTGCCCGAGCGTGGTGTCTCAAACCCTGGATTATTGCCTCAAAGTGGTAATATCCTCAACCATATTTTCCTCCGAGACTTTTGGATACCAGTGAGCAGTGAGTCATTCTAGATTCATAGGGTGGAACACTCAAGTCTTGGAATAATAACTCGTCAAATCAAAATTAGCCAGAACTGATTGCTGGCTCCTCTGGTATTCGAGGCGAATTGCTCTGTACTGAATGCGCCGGCTTGTAAAACACGACCTATGGCCTCCCTTTCGAGTCGAGTTAGGTTCTGAACATGTATCGTTATCATAAACTTGAAAAAAACTCCCTCAATTAAATGCCTGGAGAAAGTGCCATGCTCCAGCAACTGCCTAATCAACACATCCATTAGCGTTGTCTAGAAAGAGGAATATATACGGGTGCAAGTTGTGTGAGACTGAGCCAAGCTTGGACTTGAATAGTACGATTCTTGACAGCTGTCATTTTGAGTCTATGGACCGGCCTCAGAGCCACTCTACCTCAGGGACAACCAAAGGGTCCTGTAAGAATCGAGTTCGCTCATTGCTCGCCTACAATATACACGTGCCATTTCATACATGTAAATGCCGAGTATTTACTCGGCCAGATCAACAATTAGATGTCCAAAGTTGACCACCAGGTCACCTCCCTCGCTTGACGGCCTCGCAGCATAAACGCCAACCCAGCATTCAGTGTTTTCCTGCCCATCGAAAAACCATGTAACCTCACGGAGTGGAGACTTCTGGACACCCTCGACTAAGTAGATCCACAAGCTATCGTCTGGCTCCCTGACGATTTCGATGGTTGCTGCTGCTCCACCAGATGGGATCGAAAGCAAGCTCCAGTCCGCCCAACGGTCCTTCGCGACAGTGCTCAAATGAGGTTTGCCGTGCGTGAGCTCAATGCCTGTTTTGACCCATTTTCTGGTTCCGTCAGCGGCAACCGAGACCAGGATGAGGCCACCTTGGTCGTATTTCTGCTGCCAATCGGCATTGATTGCGACTCGAGCCCTCTTGAATGACTTCAAGGGCACACTGCGATAGAGGATGGGTGCATTGAAGCGTTCCGTTGAGGGCGGTTTCGACCAGATGTCCGTAGAAGAACTCGCGTTGATCGAAAACTCGGGCGGCAAGGCGCCATTACCAGGAACCTTTTCCGAGGAGTTGACAAAGGTAAACTGAGTGTGTGTCATATTGACCGTAGAATGTTGTATTGTTGTATTCAAAGCTTGGGATATACTTGAGCAAGGCCTCTTGGAGCAATGTGAACTGAACGCTGCAATCCGTTCGCAAAAGAGAAGGATGAAAATGGATCAGAACCTATTATATGTCCAGGTACCGGAAGTGCCAGCTATATAAAGGGTAAAAAAGAAGAGTCAGCTAGGTGAAAGGTCCACTGTCCGTACTTGAACCGGGTAAACTCCAGTTTCCTACTCAGTATACGGCCTGTACGCTTGTGATTTTGCGGTCCCCTGCCCCTCTATGACGGTATGACCACCGATGACGCTCATTCTTGGCGGGGTGGCACCTTTCACACCTTGCCATCGGAGAATTGAGCGGAGAAATCTGGGACTGTCATCCTCGTAGCTTGGTGGCTGGCAATGTTTGAGACAAACATCGGGAACTTCGTATTTCGGGTTGCCCCATGCTTTGACAGGTTGGCATGTCCGTGACGGCGTGAAAGGTCCAAGATCAGTTGATGCCGACTGGACGAGGCTAAAGCCAGAGCGTTGATCCCTCAGCGATCTCCACACTCGAGCCTTGGCGGCGAGTACCTTGGCTGACATAATCAGACACTGGGAGGATCGTGACTCGAGCTGAGACAACGAGGATAGGGGCATCTGATGCTTGCGCATGTCCCATTGGTCCTAGAGCAACTGATCCAGAGTATTCGAGGGATGGGTTGGCAAATTGCTCCTAGCAGCTGATGACGATTCTTCGTCATGTCTGCCCGTCTGCTTCACCCGGATGAGTACGAGCTTGACACTCGATCTTCTGTCGACTCTCAGGGAACTTTCAACCTGGACGAGGCCGATTTCGAGTCACAGGCTCCCCCAAGACCCAGACGGCTTTTGAACCGGGTATCCTTCCTATCGCGGCTCTTCTCGTCGACTTCATCCGGCTACCGTCGCCTCAAATCTTCTCGGCGCGTCCTATCAGCCTCATCACGACCGAGTTGTGCTCGACGTTTTCTTCTACGCCGCTCCTGCTTCTATATTCATGTCGTTACAGGGATTATATTAGCTCTCGTCGTGTTGACTTCAATCTTTCGTCCATCATACACTCGTCCGCCATCGCATTACTCAGCTCTCCGGGATACAGTCTCGCAATCGACTAAGCCGGGCAGAGGCAACATTCGCAATGAGAAGGTTTTCGTGGCTGCGAGCTTATACGATCGTGGCGGGGAACTAGCAGGCGGAGAATGGGGCAATCGAGTTCTTCAGCTCATTGACCTGCTGGGAGGAGATAATGTATTCTTAAGTATATACGAGAATGATAGCGGACCAGAGGGGGAACGCGCACTGCGGGATTTCAAGGAGCGGGTACCATGCAAGAGCTCCATCATATTCGAGGAGCATCTGGATCTGGACGGCTTGCCCCGAGTTACAGTCCCCGGCGGACAGAAACGTATCAAGCGCATCGAGTATTTGGCAGAGGTTCGCAACCGGGCTCTGAAACCGCTGGACGATGATCCTGAGACGCGTTACGATAAGCTCCTGTACCTAAACGACGTCATTTTCGACCCGGTTGATGCTCTTCAGCTGTTATTTTCCACCAATGCAGACCAAAATGGGGTTGCTCAATATCGGGCAGCTTGCGCAGTCGACTTCATCAACCCGTTCAAGTTCTATGACACCTATGCCACTCGTGACTTGCAGGGCTATGGAATGGGTCTTCCTTTCTTTCCATGGTTCTCAACAGCTGGACATGGTGATAGCCGAAAGGATGTGCTAGCTGGAAAGGATGCCGTGCGTGTACGCAGTTGTTGGGGAGGAATGGTTGCTTTTGATGCCAAATTCTTCCAGCATGGCACAGCAGGAAAGGGCTCGAATCAAGCTCCATCCCGTTTCCGCGCCTCTCACGACCTCTTTTGGGAAGCTTCTGAGTGCTGTCTGATCCATGCGGACATTCAGGAACCCCAGCTGCAACCAGATGAGATAACCGACACCGGAATCTACTTGAACCCATTCGTGCGTGTCGCCTATGATCGCCGTAGTTGGTCCTGGCTTGGGACCACACGCCGATTTGAGAAACTCTACTCCTTCATCCACAACATTGGAAATCACCTTGTTGGGTTGCCCTGGTACAACCCACGACGGGCAGAGGTGCCAGGCCAAACTGTTCAGGAGACAGTCTGGGTTGCAGATGCAAAAGAAGATAGTGGTGGATCCTTCCAACAGATCGATCGAATTGCTGGGAATGACGGCTATTGCGGACGTCGAGGGCTGCAAGTCATCGTCGAACATCGCAAGGAGGGTCAGGAAGGTTATGAAAGCATTCCTGTACCGTCGACATGAGTTCGACAGACCTTACCATTGGTGGTCTCGTGTTGGTATCTTATTTTTCTTGTCTAATATGAAAGCGAGGTACATAATTTATTGACTGAAGCTCATGAAAGCTTGATCTTCAAAATTGTTTACTCCCTGTCCTGCTGTATACTCATCTTCCAGATCTGCCCTAACCTTTGGAAACGATGTTCAAGCTTCAGCCCTGGGAAAAGTGATACCTTGAAAATTCTTATGAGCTGACTGTTTGTCTTTGATGTCTTAGGCTCGACGTTCCCCACCAGCCTCCTTCTATTGTTGGTGAAGGCGGCTGGGGTATCTCATCTTGCCTGTCACTGAATGAAGTGAACCGGATATCTCCGCTGTCATACCCTGATTCCGGCTGGTGAGATGGATAATTCCGGTGGCTAGTCACTGTCTTTGTACTAAGCGAGCATCTGAGAGCTATATAACAAGCATAAACCTCCCACCACCCTGTCCATGACTCTGTATCTAACCATTTACTACCTCCTTCTACTCCTTCTACTCCTTATCTTACTGTGACAGTGACTGAAAGCCTCTTCATCCTTCTAAGCTCTCTATGTTTTCCTGGCTAGCAAAAGCGTTCGATATGGCTCTCAGACTACCTGAGACCATGGATCTCAAGCAAGTCTCAGACATGATCGTTGACGCTTTCGACAATGTCATAAGAAAGGATTCCCATGGGCTGCAGGAAAGCAGACACGCACCTAAGGAAGAAGATAAAGCAAATGATTTGAAGAAATCTCAGCAGGTTGGTCCTCTCTTCGTGCCTTTCTCTCTCCTTCTTGGTGTTCTTGCCAGCATTGTGTTGTGTGTGCCTGAGTACATTGGCGTCTTTCGCACAAGCGGAGCATGCGCACGTTATGAGAGTGAAGCTAATTACATTTTTTTTTCCAATACAAAAAAGTCTTCCCAGGTTGCCCCCCTCAACAAAACCCCACGCACCTCTGGTGGACTTTCTTTTCCTTCGAGCATTCGTCCTCTGAAACCTCAGAAACCTCACCACTCCCGCTACTCAGCTGGCGATTCTTCTTACACTTCCTACACTCCATCCAAGATGGCTGAACTCTCAAAGGAGTATCCCGTCGCTGACGTGGACGATGCTGCTGGCTTCATGGCCTTTGCTCGAGCTCTTAGAGAGAAGCAGGCTCGTGAGGCTGCGGCTGCGGCCAAAACTCAGCCTGATCAGGAGGCTTCCGGTCAGCAGAACCGATTTGCCAATGCTTCCGATGACTTTGGCGGACAGTCTTCTGTTGATGCCAATGGATCTGCGCCTATGTCTGCTTCCAACGACGTGTGGCTCTCTGGTAAGTTGACTCTTACCACGCGGCTCAAACATTCAGAAGAACACAACTGACATTGGTCTGTCTATGAAGGAGACTCCCCCTCGCGTAACGATGACGGCTTTGGTGACCTTGAAAACAACAACAACGACAACGCGTCTCTGATGCCTGGCATCGGCGAAGATGCTGAAACTCCCAAGGCCTCCGCTTCCGGCTTCCGCGGCGATGCTGCTGAGTTCATCTCGCAGGAAGCTCCTGTTGCAGCTTCTCAGAATGCTGTCTCTGCTACCAAGACCTCTGACCATGCTGTCGTTGAAGAGGATCGTGAGAATCTTGCTACCTTCAAGACCTGGGGTACTCCTGTCGCGCGTGACAAGCCAGGTATGCAATGATCTTCTTGTCTCCTTTGAGTGGACTCGTGAATGCTAATATGACATCGTGCTAGCGGCTCAAGTTAGACGTGTCATCATCGAGGGACTTCCTTCTGCTTGGAGCTCTCCTGCCAAGGTTCTGTCGCTTATTCATGGTGGCATGGTTGAGAGCATCCACATTACTCCTGCCGGCAACCAAGCCCACGTCCTTTTCTGCGACCACGAGGCCTGCAAGGCTTTCTATGACAAGTACCCCAACGGCATTGACCTTGACAAGGAGAAGAGAAAGACCGTCTTCGTGGAGATGGGCAATGAAGTTGATGTCATCAGCTCTCAGCTTTCTTTCAATCTCTCCATTGGCAGCACCCGTGTTGTCCGCGCCGTTGGTGTCAGCATGAACATCAACATGGGCGAGCTTCTCAAGTTAGCCAGTGCCAACAATCGCAAGGTGGAGAAGATCGTGGACTCCTGCGTCCCTGGCGAGGTAAGCTGGCAACCATCTCCAAGAAATGCTTATGCGCTAATGATGTCTCTAGCCACGCAATGTTGTCTTCCGTTTCTGCAGTATCGATGATGCTGTCAAATTCCGCGCTGCCATCCTTCGTGATGCTGATTGGGAACATTGCAACATCCAGCACGCAGCGGACCCGTAAGTCTTCCTCTACCGTTAGTTGATGTCCAAAATAATGATGTCTTCGCTGCTATTAGATGCGAGCTCGCTACCGGATTCCATGCCGATTGAGGGTTGCAGACGACTTCGGCAGATGCATCATTCTTCGAGCATCGTGCTTGGATTTGGAGTCTACAGAATTTCGACTGGATATGTGTGGACACTATCAGTAGTCAGAGCTTAATGCATACGGATTGATATGATGCATGGTGTTTCGTTGATGACAGAAATGATTTCAAGTCTCAACCATAGCTTTAATGAAATGGTTTCGAATGTATTGCTATCCCTTGATGACTTATTGATTCATTAATAGCCTGCGCTATCGTGCAGTCGATACTAATTTCAAGAGATAAGATAAAATTTTGGTTCTCTTCTGCATGTACTGATCACATAATGGCACTATTGTGCTGTACTCTAACCTCGCACAGCTTTGACCATTGATAAATCAAAGGCTTGAGTCATATCAACAATCATAAGCACATCGCAGCTCCTTCACATTTGGACATACTCATCGCTGGCCCCTCTCCCCCTGATTTCCGACAACACATTTGCTTTGACAATGTTCACTACTGTCACTCAACTATTCCAGAGCACGCATTACGAAAGCCCCAGGCTCAAGCCTCATTCTCAGGTAACGAAGATCTACACATACAAAGCTGTTTCTCAACTCCCAATCCAACCTCTGAGTCCTTTGTCAAAATCGGTGGCGCTAACTGCTATCTTTCTCTCTAGTACCACGTCAACGCAACTTTCTCCTTTCGTTCGAACGACTGCACGGCGGAGCCCACCGTCGAACCACCTCGAAGCCGTTGAAATCCCTTCTGACATACCAAATGTCCATATGAACTTCATCTCAAACATGCACATGTCGGCAGGTAGACTGTCACGGATGTCCTGCGCGCTTAGACGCCCTTTCCTATGATAATCCCGTGGCTACAGGATCTCACACCGATACGCGGTTGGTATACAGTGGGTATGAAGTTGATCACGCACAAGCTTGCTAGATAAGCCTCTCCTTTCGAGCTACTTCAAGTCCTTAAAAACATTCCCTTGTGTTCTATCCGACGACTGATGCAATGTCTTACCTGCGGGAATCTCACGGGACTTGACAGAGTGAGTCCTCAGCAGAATTGATGGTATAAGTTCGATCTATCTGTTTGCTGTCTATTCGAGTATCCTATCTGATTGTCTGACTTATTGTGGTATAAATGGAACAGAATAGACATATAGTAACTTCAATTTCACAACAATGGCTGCAAAAAATTCGAGGCGGCGACGAATGCCTACGCTCAGACTCTCGACGACAAAACAATGCACTGTTGATGTCGGATCTTGCGATGGGTGGCCTCCCTGAAGAGCCGCCACTTCAGGACGTGGTTGGGACTTCTCTTGAGTTTGTTGGCGATATTTGACTCTACGTCTCGACCTCAACTCCCAGTGCGTCAATACTTGCAGTATGAAAATACCCTATCCGTCAGAAGGTCTGAATGCAACGGATGTCGTTCGCAATGGTGGATGGATCATGATGCTAACATCGTGGTGGTCTGGTATTATCGAGGAGCCTTGCTAGGGATTTGAGAAGATAGAAGTCCTTCGGATTTGATTTCAAGCGAGTTTCATCAATTCTCAGAGGCAGGATGATTTGGCAAACCTGACTACGGCTCAAATGATTGAAGATAGACACAGGGACGATGGTATCTCTCATAGTGATGCAATGAGTGTGTCTTTCTTGGACTACCTAAAGCTGGCAGATTGGCATTCCTCTCAATGCTAAGCAGTCGAAGGAGGTATCAAAACCACAGCAACAGTATTCACATCCACGCAGGAATACTTCAATCTGGGATACATATTCAACAAGCTCAACTTCAACGCTCTGTGCACACTGGTTCCAACCTTCTTTCTACCATCAAGCCTGAAGACTCCTTCCTGTTCCAACATAGGGCAAACTTTCTTTACGTGGGTCGGGCTCGAAGCTGTATCGTACGATACAGTTCATCAGACACGACCGCCATAACCAGGTCTCGTAATATACTCTGTTTTCCGAAGGATTTTGGACCTAGAAACGGCCATCATGGCAGAGACTCAGATTGTCGGTCGAGAGCAAGTCTGCGCTTTGATCTAATATCCTACTTGCTGACTGCCTGATTCTGTCTCTGTTGGATGCGATTGCTAGGCTCTAAGAGAGGAAGAGTACGAGAAGCAGTTCTCATATGACCTGGTTAGGAATACCTTGAAAGAAACAGCGTTATGACCTAGCCATCCTCTGCGACGGCGCACGATATTCCGCCGGAGCAAGAGTATTAGCCTGATCCATGACTTGGGAATTGACTCGAACTTCCCAACTTACGCGGTCTGATGACTCATGAGGACACAAAAGCCAGAAAGAGTGGTCCTTGATCGTTATCTTACCAGACAGTGGTTTACCAAGACTCGTCGGCAAAAAGAAAGGCGGGGAATTCGTGGAGGATGAACACAGTGGGACGTCCAGACTCAGTTATGAAAACCACTCTTTAACTACAGTGTTTGGGAGATAAAACCGGCTGCGAAATAGACGGTGATTATTGTCGCGGAGGAGAAGGCTCTATTCTAGGCTACAGAATTGATATCACAACGAGCTCAAGTCGAAACCGACGATCGATTGATCGTCGGGTCTATGAAACGAGCGGGAAAAACTTGTTGGCAATAACTATAGATTCGAGTAGTACTCCGTACCCACTATTGGATTGACCCCCACGATGTGGATGCTGGGTAGCTCGTAAGTAACCTTCTTGATGATGCGATGGGATTCAAGTCCCAGGTCGGTAAAACTATCTACCAGAGGAAGCCTCTAAAGTAGCAACGGAGACTAAATACGATGGCAGCTGGATAAGTTGCCGAAGGACAAGGATCGCCAAAGTTTCTAATGTGGATGAGGACGGACATCGCCGATGAAGACAAGCAGAAACTAGAAAGAAAACGGCTTCAAGAGTCTAACAAAGAAAGAGGCGATCCGGGTGGAGTATTGACTCTGCAGACTCGAGTCCTCGACAGTGAACACGAATTACTCCGGAGTCCGGAGTATGATTTTACTATCCATAGCGGCGTAGAAGCAAGCACGAGGCTGCATGGATCCATGGGTGGGAAATTCCAAATAGTTGATAGTAGTGAGACCGTGGCCGCATGCTCCAGAAGATGGTCATAGTGGCGGTAAACAATATAAGCATATCACCAGGGATTGCAATAGCCCGACAGCCATCATCATTTGCTCTTTATGATGATCTTCAGACGCAGTATCCTGTACGTACACACTGCGATGAACCATTCACAAGGGGCGCACCCATTATGGTCGCATGTTAATCAACTCATATCCGAAAACTCCTTAAATCCGAGAGACAGAGAGAGAGTCACGGTCAAGGACTCCAGGTATGAAGTCTAGAGGCTGGGCGACCGCGATAGTACCCAAAGAAGGCATCAAAGACTCATCGAAATTAGATTAATAATTGATTGCGTCCAAGGAGTCAAAGGACCACCGTCTGATGCCTGCATGGGCGATACCACTCTACAGACCCGACAGTCTGGATGAGGGTGTGATAGTTGAGCATTAGCAGCTTTACGGACGAAACCTTGGGGCCAGCAGGACAGGAGCAGTCAGTATTTATGAGCACGAAAGTAGTAACTTAGCGCGCGAGTGGAGATGCGATCAGCAGGATGAGAAGATCAACAGACGTCACCGGCTCCTCAGAATACGAGGTGACAGAGAGTTTTGTCAGACATTATTGAATAAAGAGTCATCAAATCAGAAAATCTACCTCAAGAGTGTTTGATAATTGATTCAGGCTTTTTAGAGTTGGCAGAGAGGAAATTTCAAGCCAAGGCACCTTAAGACAGCAGAATCGCATCTCACATTATCAGACTTGTCGATCAAAACGGCTGTCCGTGAAGAGGTTGAGTGGGATGGAACTATCTTAGGTACTGACTAGCAAAGTTACTAGTGGATTACACTCTTCATTGAATCCAATTTCTGTGCAATTTCTCTAATATGGATAAATACAATAACAGTACAATACAATACATGGATGTATGCCTGGCCAAACCTGGCTCTGCCTGGATATACCAAAGTGCGATTTCTTGAGCAATAACAGGCCTCTACCTAGTAATGGAGGTTCAGAAGGTCCAAGCACAGACAATCTCAATTAATTAATTCCTCTGCACCCAGCGTGTGTCAATTGCCTGCGCCGCAATGTACAAGCATCAGGCACCAGGAGACTAAGGTATTGACATCAAACACGGCACCACCAAGTGGCTAAATTTAATATCGTGGGAGATTGTCCGGAGCCTCGTCTAGCTGCTTAGTTGATACAACTCAATAATAGCAAAGATCTGGAACAATCTTCTGTTCGACAGGACAGGGATGCTGGTGACAGTGGCACAGTCAGTACGCCTATCTCTACTCCACAAGGAAAGCCTCTAAATTGCGGCACAGTCAAGATACATACAGAGAATCTCAACTAAGTCGGTTTCTGGACAGTCTGCCCCACGTGTTGGGTGCAGGGGTCAGAAACGACTTACGACTCACGAGGCAAATGGCTCTTACCTTGTCTTTTTTATTTTTTTTTTATTTTTTTTTCTCCCGGACTGTGATAGGAGTCCGGTCAACTGACTAACCCTCAGTTGATAGCTTTTGTCAGAATGAGGCGAACTCGAGGCCATAATTAGATGGAAGTCTAGGTAGTAGGGACATTTGGAACTTCACCACTCATCAGGCAACCCGATGGTCAAAGTCAACGGCGAACCGGACAAATCCTTCGAACATTGCACAGACGACTCATGGAAACGGTGGCCTGAGGCGAGGCAAATCAGCCAGGAGAATGCCTCCAACAACCTGGAGAGGAGTCCACAGTGTGAGTCTGTCAAGCCATGCTACGTTCAAAATCCTGCCACCTTCAGTGCAAAAATAGCACTGGATCCTGAGCTATGATCAACAGCAATGGCATGAGTCTGTAATCTCCTTTTTTCGCGTCTGGTCAACCCAAGAGGCTCGACATAAGGCTGAAGAATGAGGGAGGATTCGAAGTACGCCCACGCTGCTCCAG